ACGTTTGCGTATCATTCTCACGGCAGATTGTGAAAACAAAACATTAACATAATGTCCTTGACACAGTAGAGTTAAGAAAATAATAGTTGTTGGAGTATCAGCATATAAATAGAATATGGTCAAAATACTAAAAATTAGTAATAGCTCTCCATCTTTCAAAATTGTCACGCAGATCAACTACACGTAGAGATGATAATTAATTTGCCACTAGTACTATGTCTAACCTATCCGGAAATAGGTTTACTAAAACTGTAGTTTGATATATGGCCACAAATGTCATTAATTTTCTCATTGTTTCACTAAATGCCATGTAAAACTGGAAGAAAATTTCAGAATCTATCAATTTCTTTTCTAGTTTATAACATTGTTCAGAATTTTTATAGTGATAAACCTGTTATAGATGTTAGAAGTTTATTTCGGCAACGATAAATCTGATATAGATAGCAGTACATTTAACAAGAGGTTCCTTTTATTAAAACCAGGAGATAATAAAAGCTATAAGTTCATAGTGACCTTACGACTATGTTGCTTTACAGGTGTATAAAAAATCATAAGTTTCGAAAACAAACCAAATGATGTAAAAAAAATAAGCAATAATAATTTTCAGCATTCCCGAGTACATTTACAATTTTGCTGATTTTGTGCAAAGCTAGCCGAGGATTTTTGTTTTCTTGTTGTTAAGCGCACAGCTATACAATGGACTATCTGTGCTATTCCCACAACAGGTATCGAAACCGGGTTTTAGCGTTATAAGCCTTCACACTTATCGCTGATGGGGGAGACATCCGAGGGCTATCTGTCCCAATTTAGAAGTGATAAACTAAAGTTTGTAGACAGGTATTCAACACCACCAACTCTTTGGCTGCTCTAATCGGATAGAAGGATTGGTTGTAACATAACAACGACCCCAAAGATAAAAGGGAGAGCATTTTCAATGATATAGAACATTTACAAATTAACGAACTTTTATGTTTTTCTGATATTTGTTTAGAAGTTAAAAATTGTTCAGTTTCATCAGATTTACTTAACCTACTACAATGAGCACTAGATGTAAAAAGATGGTGTCCAATTTTATGAATAAAATTAGTAATATTTATTAAGATAATTTGTAGTTAGTTGCTCATGCGAACTTTAAAGAAAATGGCTTTACATGTTTTTCTACTTTCAAGATATACTTAAATGGGTATAATATTTTATATATTATTATTAATTGTACAGGTTTTACAGTTGATTCTGCACAAGTTCGTCTGATCTGTAGTCATATTAACTATCGTATACATATTCTACATTTATTGTTTCAGGTAAAGCAGGACAACCAGTTACTTTAAACTCTTCAATTTTGGCCAAATCAGGCTAAGGTGATTTGCATCTCTTGCATGTTCATCTATTAGTCGTCTACGTCACAAATTATGGTTTTTCAATTTTACCTTTCGAAATCTATAATATCTCGATAAAAAAGTTTAGAAAACTACCTTTACACTCTAGATATATACATATATATATATATTTAATAATTGATTTTTATTTTAACCAACGTTTCGCCTTTGCGGCTTCATCAGGGTTAATATACACAGCTCTGATAAAGCTTAAAAGGCGAAACGTTGGTTAAAATTTATATATATATATATATCTGGGGTGTAAAGGTCGTTTTTTCTAAGCTTTTTATCAAAATGTGTAAATCTCTCCAGTATGCACTACAAATTTTGAAAGCCAACAAGAAACTTCCTATAGTAATATCACCACTGTTCCACTCTGTAATAGGTTGGATACAATATTATTCCCATTCTTAAACTTAGGTTACTAAATAGCGAGTTAAAAGGACTTAAAAAACATACATATTACATACGCACCACTATTATAATAGGCCTTACTGTATTGCTTTAGTTTTCTGACCAAAGATGTGCTGACGAGTCTTGAACAGGTATAACTGCAGCCCCACAGCAAAGGGTACGTCGAATCAAAGAATGCATTAAGCCTGTGTCACAGACGATATTTTAAATTGTTACCTTTTGTGGAAAGGAACCTGTAATATCACGTTGTATTACCGTAACATGATTATGTATTATCGTGTTTCTTTCCGATTATTTAGTGTGATCTACCGGTTACGTTGCAGGACTCCAAACTTTATTACAAGGCCTTTTTTTTTTTAATTTGGACATACTCTAAAGATGACGCAGTTAGATGACTAACGAAAAAAATCCTATAAATGTGAATAGTGAAGCCTGAAACAATTAACATATATTAAATTCTCTCTCTCTCTTACAATACGCCCCCCTCCAATAGTACAGCGGTATGTCTGCGAAGTTACAACGCTAGAATCCGGGTTACGATACCCGTGGTGGGCAGAACAAAGATAGCCCATCGTGTAGCTTTGTGCTTAATTACAAACAAACTCTATCACTACATTTAGACGTAGTCTATTAAATCTCATGAAATTTGTGGGGCTTTAAATCATTAAACTTTAGCTTCATTTGTGTTTAAGTAAATTCCACAAAACCAATGTCAGTCTACTAAACTAGAACAAATTAAGACGTTTTCTTATCACTTCAAGGCACAGGGGGGGTTACGGAAAAAAAAACTTCATATTATTTACGTCAAGTTATAAAGCTTCCGGTCTTTCGTCAGTTCATTTTAATTAAGATAAGTGAAATATCTGAAACTCGTGAAGATAGCGTAGAGTCCAGTAAGATGTTGATAAACTAGTTGTAACCAGCTAGACGTTCGAGAGATTGGTGTCGCACACTCGACAAATTGTATGAATCCGTTGAATAGCTTATCGTTATCATTGTTCTGTACTATCGAATTGATAAAATCATTAAAACGATTCACTTGAAGACTACAACCATGGAGATTACATGGGAAAGCAGTTGGGCAACCAGTGATCATTTGAAAAACAGCAAAAATAAAATAAACATACAGGTTTATTACAATGACGTAATCTCATTCTGTATCCATCTCTATCGTGTATTTTAAACGGTAATCCAACTCTGATCTTTAAAAGTTAGGCTAATATTAATTTATTTGTTTTGTTGTTAAGTACAAAGCTACACGATGGGATAGATGTGCTGTGCCCAATACGGGTATCGAAACCTGGTTTTGGGCGTTATAAGCCTTCAGAATTACCGCTTAGCCATTGGTGGGCAATGTTAATCTAAGATCCACGCACAGTTTGTACGTCTGATCTCAGCCACGATTAATAAATATAGCAAGATATCTCATATTTTTTTTATTAAGGTGTATGTAACCAGTTAAGTAAATTCCAAGTTTTATGGAACTGAAAATGAAAGGTCGGTATGGACTATCATTATCTAAGGTCCGTGTAAACAGTACTTAACAGTATGTTGGTGACAATACGCTAACACATTGTCAGAGGTAACTGAAAAAACTTGGAGACAAACGACACAAAGAGAGAAAGTAAAACAGAAGTATAAATACAGTGATATTATAGAAAGGTTTTCGTGTTCTTTACTGTGTAACTTACATGACCCTCACCCCTTATATCATATACATAAAGACATTCGGTGTAATTCATTACAAAAAACTAATATGTCTCCTTCATATAAAAAAAATAAATCTGTAAATTTGAGCACACATTTTAAGTTCATTGGTTAAGTTACAATATTTTAAATGCAATTATTTTCCGATAATTCATCAGTTATGTTACAGTTGAACTACAAGTTTCCAGTAGTTACTTCTACACAATATGGTAAACAGTTTTTAAAACTACTATTTATACTGGAACCCGTTTTTCTTGAATACAGTCATAACAACGAATATTCTTACGACAAAACTTGTTTACAAACTTTGCACGTACTTCTCAAAGTAATAGCTAATAAACTTAAGTGGTTTATCAATTGTCTCTATCAGAGTTACACAAACAGTGTAGTAGTAGTAGCTATATTTTACGTAAGCAGAAACACGTATCTTTGTTCTATCTTTTTTTTTTTAGTATCCGTTTGTAATTATCGGTTTTTCGGTTATGTAAAGAACTTGAACATCAATAAAGCACTCTCTTACACACTTATGATTATACAGCATCAATAAGGCATGCTCTTACACACTTATGATTATACAGCATCAATAAGGCATGCTCTTACACACTTATGATTATACAGCATCAATAAGGCATGCTCTTACACACTTATGATTATAGTTTTACGTTATGAACCTCAACGGTACAATTTACCATTTTTTAGTTTTACGTTATGAACCTCAAAAGTACAATTTACCATTTTTAGTTTTACGTTATGAACCTCAACAGTAGAATTTACCATTTTTTAGTTTTACGTTATGAACCTCAAAAGTACAATTTACCATTTTTTAGTTTTACGTTATGAGCCTCAAAAGTACAATTTACCATTTTTTAGTTTTACGTTATGAACCTCAAAAGTACAATTTACCATTTTTTAGTTTTACGTTATGAGCCTCAAAAGTACAATTTACCATTTTTTAGTTTTACGTTATGAGCCTCAACAGTACAATTTACCATTTTTTAGTTTTACGTTATGAACCTCAACAGTACAATTTACCATTTTTTAGTTTTACGTTATGAGCCTCAACAGTACAATTTACCATTTTTAGTTTTACGTTATGAGCCTCAACAGTACAATTTACCATTTTTTAGTTTTACGTTATGAACCTCAAAAGTACAATTTACCAATTTTTTTTTCCAGACAAACTTTACTGTAATAGTTCATTATACTTTATGATTTTTGTAGTGTTAAAAATTTCAACTAATGTGAGATTATAGCCACATACTTTGTTCAATGTAAATATTTCATATTACATAAACAGTGGATTTCATAAATTCCTGGTAATTTTGGTTTTAAAAATAAAATTTAATATAACAGACTAGGAAATGAAGTGATTTATAGGTGTGGTGTTCAATTAATTTTTAAACATTTTCTTCATTCTTTAATCAGTATTTTTTTATTAAATTAGAATCCCCAAAGGAATTTATACTTCATATTGTTAAAAGAAAATACTATCAGTCTTCCAAATTGTCTGGAAATACATTTTTAATCTTCAGAAATTCACAGTTTTATTTCACTACAAAATTTTATCAACTGAACTTTAACATACTCAAATGATTGTTTAGTTTTCTTCCACAGACAAATGTTGAACTCCTTACTAAATCTTCTTGATTTGCGCACAAATATACTGCTAATGGACCTACATTAACCTGAAAAATAAAACACAACTACAATTTCAAAAATTTAAAGGCTACTAAAAAAAATTAGATATATATATATATATATATAATATACACCTAATATCACTATAAAATGAATATACAATAACTGATATGCAAAACTGGTCAGAAAACAAGTTCTTAAAGACTACAAGAGGAAATGAAAATGGTATGACAGGAAACCTGTTTCTCCAGTCCAGTTTTCCCAGTATTCGTTCTCTGATGAAAACAAGTGTAACCTGTACCTTG